CAGCCGTTAATACTTATATTAGAGTGAATTGTCTACATCACACCCTTGAATATGAGATACTTTGTCAATCGAGCTATCCGTTTACTTAAGTGGTTCAACGGATTAAAGAATGAACGCGATACAAAGAAAGCATATACAACATGTAGAAGAGTGGAACATTGCGCATAGGTAGAAAATAGGGGCGGAGCTAGCCTATTATGTCTAAATTCGGTCGAACCTAGTTACTTTTACCTAGATACTATATTTATATTAAAAATTTTATTAAATATATCCAAAATATTTAATTATGAATTCAGTAACAAAAATTAAAGATGGGTTACATAGTAAATTTAAAACCTATAAGGCTATAAATTTAAGATGGGGGACACTATCTGCCCTAAATGTGCATTGCTAGTCATTTCTGCCAACGCCCAACGACGCGGTCCTAGCTTAATTAGTCATGCAAGTCATGCCTCCGAAGTTGTTATTTAACAATATTACGTAGTACAACAACAATAATAACATATTCAGTGAAATATCATGAGTCAGGTCTGGTAAGGATAAAGTATATGCATACCTCACTTTATTTTGTGAAGGTAGAAACTCTACTTTCGATTCAAAGTAAGCAATTCCAAACCAGGTTTGAAGAAAGAAGAAAAAAACTATGTCGAAAGTACTGGCGAAAAAGAAACGGAACAATAGTACGTAATAACATTTTAAAACTCAGTCCGTATCAAACAACATCACAAAAAGAGATAAGGAGCGAGCATGTGACAAACTAATAACTCTGCCCTACATTTTAATCTTTGCATTGTACAATTAACGGCATGCGTCACGCCCTTAGACTTTTGTAGGAATTTGCAAGTATTTTATTCCCCAATTATATCCGTCAATTTACATGGTTAACTTAATGTAACTGTTTCTTGAATAAAGAACAAATTCATGTTACACTGTTCCAATATTGTTGTTGTACAACATAGTAAAAAAGAGGTTTGCTAGATACGTTGGGATACTGCCCTTCTTAAATTTGATATATATTATCATGACTAAGTGATATATACTATCACTTAAATTTGAGACTCTTAAACTTGAACTTATTAATTCAATGTAAACAATCAGATACGAGTAAGTATTTTCCTATTAACAGCCGTCAGCTAGTCTTCAAAACACACAATAAAATGGAATGACTCTGTGACAAGTTGCATGCTAGCACAACAAAGTTCCTATCTCTCTGTGTATATATATATATATGTAAAGCACATATATTTTGAAATAAAACATTCATAGCTTAGTTTTTTCAATGACCTCCAATCTCCATTTCCAAAACCATGGCCAAAAACATAATGATATTGTAGTAGTTGTTGTCCCTTTTCCAGCACAAGGACATCTCAATCAACTTCTTCAACTATGTAAACTCATTGCTTCCTATAATATAAAAGTTCATTATGTTACAACCAAGACACACACTCATCAAGCTAAATTAAGAGTTCATGACCCTTTTTCTATAGACAATATTCATTTTCATGAATTCTCAACACCATTTTTCATATCTCCCCCTCCTAATCTGAACGCTTCCATCAAATTTCCTTGCCATCTTCAACCATCATTCGAGGCAACGTCTCATCTACGAAAGCCTGTGGCCAAACTTCTTCGTGTCCTCTCATCGAAAAGCCAGAGAATTGTTATCATCCATGACTCCCTAATGGGATCAGTGGTTCAAGATTTTGTGTACTTACCAAATGCAGAAGCCTATGCTTTTCACAGTGTGTCAGCTTTCACATTGTTCTTGTTCATATGGGAGAATATGGGCAGGCCTTTTAACATTGATGCTAATATGCTAAAAGATGTTCCTTCACTTGAAGGTTGTTTTAGTCCTGAATTTGAGAAATTTATTAAAAATGAATACGATTACTTGAAGTTCAATTCAGGAAGGATTTACAACACATGCAAAGTGATAGAAGGTCCTTTTCTTGATTTGCTGTCCAAGGAACAGATTAGTAATAACAAAAAGCAGTGGGCACTTGGACCATTCAATCCTGTTTTAGTACAACATGGGACCAAAGGTTGTACCCAACGACATAAATGTCTAATTTGGCTAGACAAACAAGAACCAAACTCCGTGATCTTCGTGTCTTTTGGCACCACGACTTCATTTTCGGATGAACAGATCAAGGAGATCGCAATTGGATTGGAGAAAAGTGAGCAGAAGTTCGTTTGGGTACTGAGAGATGCGGATAAAGGGAATGTTTTTGCTAAAGATCAATCAAGAAATATTGAATTACCAAAAGGTTTCGAAGAGAGAGTTAAAGAAAGGGGAGCTGTGTTAAGAGACTGGGCGCCACAATTAGAAATATTGGCACATTCCTCCGTTGGCGGTTTCATGAGTCATTGTGGATGGAATTCGTGCATGGAGAGCATTTCCATGGGCGTGCCAATAGCAGCATGGCCAATGCATTCGGATCAACCCCGAAATACTATATTGGTCACAAAGATTTTAAAAGTTGGCATAGTCGTTAAGGATTGGACCCGTAGGCACGAGGTGGTAACATCTCTCATGGTGCAGGCAGCAGTGGAAAAATTAATGGTGTCTAAAGAAGGAGAAGGCATGAGGAACAGAGCAATGGATTTGAGTGCAGCTCTAAAAATATCAGTAGCAGAAGGTGGTATTAAGAACATGGAGTTGGATTCATTCATTTCTCACATAACAAGGCAAATTTGATCAATCCTAGATCACTTGAATCTCCACATCTCAACGGTTTTCATTGTGCAATAAGGTCTTACTATCTAAAAGGATTTAATCTATATAATGTAAAGAATTTTTGTACTATTACTGTATTTCAAACTATTTTAGCACGTCATCTACCTTATTTCCAAGTTACTACATAAACGACGACAACTATGCCTCAATACCCAAGCTAGTTGAGATCGGTTGTATGAATCCTTGTTATCATAAATGCTTCATTGTCTCCATAATATTTCAATACTTCGTACTTTAGGATTTATCTAACACTAGGAATTCTCTAACATATTCTAGTGATTTACATACTAAGAGTGTTCCAATGAGCATTCATTTCTAATTGGGATCACCTATACGGATCTTCAACTTCCTAAAAAGGACAATCCGGTGCACTAAACTCCCGCTATGCGCGGGGTCCGGGGAAGGGCTGGACCACAAGGGTCAATTGTATACAGCCTTACCCTACATTTCTGCAAGAGGCTGTTATGTGAAATTAAACTTCCTATTTAGTATAAATACTTACATGCAATAATCTTTTATGTGAAATTAAACTCCTCTAAAATCAATGGTCAAAATCTTTTAATTTGTGTTCAAAATCAGAGAAGTGACATAATGGTCCTACAGCCAAGTATATGAAATGAGAAGTTGGAAAAAGAAGTTAAAAGAAGTTCCAAATGGAAAAAGCAAAAAGGAAGCAACAGAGGAGCAACTTGTAGAACAGTTCTTAGAAAATGTTATAGACTACATTATGTGTGAAAATGATTCTTTTTCTTATCTCAAGCTCCTCTTATCAGATAAAATGATCAGATTCATTTTATCTATCTTAGGACAAGGACATCCTCAACTTGATTCTCCACTTGTCCCATGTTGTCTCCCCCTACAACATCCCATTCTACTAAGTCAGCACCTAAGTTGCGCCGACTCTTCGATTTTGGTGCCGTCCCCGTCCGGGGACGGGGACGGGATACGTCCAGGATTCAGTCAACTGACTTCGGACACTTTGACCGGAGTCCGTCGACAAATTTGGGAGAAAAATTGAGATTTTGATTTCTCAAAATCAAAAATAAAACAGATTTAGAACAATGAAAGAATAATGTCCATCGTCGAGAATGAAAGATTGAATTGTACAATATTCATTCAAGTTTTTCACTGAATATCTATCAAAATTTACAATATTTTTATAGCTATATTTTTTATTAGCCGAATCCCCGCACCCGTATCCATATCTAGATCCGCACCCCCGAATCTTAAAATTTAGATTTTGCCGAATCCGATACTCGGATCCGTCCCCGTATCGGATACCCGCACCCGAGTCCGAGCAACTTAGGCAGGCTATAGACATCCTAGCCTTCCCTAACATCATTTGTCCAACATTGACCACAAAGACTAATCATGATTCTTGAATTTTCTTTTTCTTTTTTGGTAACCGAAAAATTCGAGTTATCCGGCTAAATCCAGTTCTTCTCATAAGTTAAAATTCGGGGAGTATGAGCCCGCTCCTTTACCTGCTGACTTAAATACCAGGTTTTGTCAGTTGTAGAGTTTGAACTCGTAACATGCGCTTAACCCACACTTCAAATGTTGCGCCCTTATCACTGAACCAAAGCCCTGGCGATGTCATAATCCAATTTGGTTTCTTATGCACTTTTAGTATCATTTCAGCAATTAGTGCAACAATTCTAGTCGGCTAGTTGCAAGTGACACATCAGATTCCTCATAGGACAAGTTGGACATGTACTATACATATTCTTCGATAAAATTTCAAAATACAGAAAGTAACGTTAAACTTAAATTTGTCCCAATTACCTCTCAAACCAAGATATTAATATTATTCATCAAAGAAAACATCACATAAACAGGAGAACTTGTGCTAATTGTACAAGTATGCAAACTAGCTTGTATGAGGTTTTCCTCAATTGATCAAACTTGCTTTGATATAGCATTTTAAGAAATCGAATACTAAATTGAAAATTTTCAAAATCATATCGAACTGAATAGTAATATTCATTTGTCAGTTGATCATTGCACTCCCCATTTGGACCAGGCATAAATATGAATACTTGTAAATACTAAATTTAAATATTGTAAGTAAACTGACTACATTTATTTGCAAATATTGAGTTTTTTTATTTGAAATTTTTAAGTAAAATATTAAAATACTAATTTAATATTTTACTTTTTCTTTTTACTTTTTCTCCCACTTCCCTTTTCCCCCTTTCACAACTTATAAAAGAAAAGAGTGATCTTTTTCTCTCTTCTTTGTTTTTTTTTTTTTTTTTTTTTTTGGGTTGTTACTGAGTTTTAAGTTGATAAACGCTTAGAATCAGTCCTTTTCTTTTTGGTAGACAGCTGGAGATTTGGCCAAGAATAGAGTTGTGGTTTGTGTTTGCAATGGTCAAATGTTGACTTACAAACAGATATAGCTCTCAATTTCAATTTGTTTCTGTCTCCATAATTATGATTATTATGGTTGGATTTCAAAAGGCAAATATTTTTAGATTTTTCATTTTTAATTTACATGCTCGTTAATTGACTTTCATTGAGATTAATCTTGATAGATACTTTATGCTAGCAGGATGTTTGTATTGCATCTTTTTGATGGCTCATTTTGTCTTTTTTTTTTTTTTTAATGGTTTTCACAGTTCCAATTTTGATAGATACTGTTGGCAGGAATAGATAATTCAGCTTGCTCATAGTTCGGTGTAGTAAGCTCCCGCTATGCGCGGAGTCCGGGAAAGGGCCGGACTATAAGGGTCTATCATACGCAGCCTTATCCTATATTTCTGCAAGAGGCTGTTTCCACAACTCGAACCTGTGACCTCCTAAGCTACAAAGCTAGTAGGTAGAAATTTATGACTCTAGTAATGAAGTATGCCAATACTCTAAAGGCCATGGAATAAATAGCTTGCTGCTTCTGTATTCATCATGTGTAACTGTATGCAAAGTCACTTCATAGTATATATTCATTAGGCGAAAGGAATTAGTTTCTCCTAATTTCATCAACGAGTATTATTTTTTCACAAATTTTGTGAAAGATCTTCCTTTTCATGTTTGGTTTGACCTATCATGGGTTGGAAGATATGGTAGTATTACAAACCGAAATAGTTCAGTTTATTTCATAAAACTTTGAGAAGGAAAATTTGCAAAACAATACAAAATATTAGCCACGGGCAAGGGGTCAAATGTAATTTAAAACAACTTGCAAATACATAAGGCAGCATTTAACTTTAATATGATCTGGACTTCTCCAAATCCAATCAAAGTGATGCAAATGAAATAATTCTTTTGATCCCCTTCAGAGCTTTGAGCAAGTTGAATGGCTCTATCCATTATTGATAGTAGAGCTTTTCTCCCTAAACATTTTCAAGCTAACACAATCATAGTTCCCTTGTAACAGCTGTAAAATTAATTCCTTAACAATCCTTACAGAAAACATGAATCTGCATACTACAAGGGAAAAAGAAAATGGATGGATTAAAGATTGATATGAACCTGACACGCGATGCAAAATCATGGCATAGGACCTTTTCGGTGGCTGTTTCTCCCTTGACCAAACTCAAGAATCAAGATTAATGTTGAAGAATCTTCAACGAGTATCTTCAGTACCAACTTTCACGGCTGAAATCGCTAGTTCTTGCACACACCTACGTCATAAAATGAAACCTTACTTCTTTTCAAGTCGTTTAAGATTTCTTAAGGTGGTTGTACTTGGTTCAAACAGAGGGTTAATGAACATAGCTGAAGATATTAAATATTGCAAGTGTACATCCAGACCACGATATCATGATATGGAAAATATTCAGTAAATTCTCAGGAAGAACACAATCAGCAGAGCGTTCAGTAGCTTCTTTTAATTAAAAGATCTATGCTTGTGTAAGAATAAGCAATAAACAAATATGACAAAAAGTGGAGAATCTAAAAACATACAAGGAACGATGAGATTTGGAAATGTCACTCTTTGTGGGCATAACTGATACGAATATTTCTGCCATCCAATAACTGAGAAGCATAATAAACAAAACTGTAAGAGCAAATATAAGAATAGAAGTAGAACTTATACTATTCTGCACTTACCTGACCGTCCATTTCCTTTAAAGCCTTGCTAGCTGCAGTTTCAGAAGTGAACTTTACGAACCCATATCCTTTGGATTTTCCACTTTTATGATCGCATATTACTTTCACTGAAAGTGGATAAGCTTATACCTCCATATAAAAGCAAGTCACAATAACAAAGAGAACTATTGGCATCCGTACATTACCTTCAGTTATCTCACCATGTTGCTCAAAAGCCTGTTTGAGAACAGGTTCATTGGTATCATAACAAAGCCCTGAAAGAAATCAGATGTCATAAAAAGGCGGGTTATTGACTCAAACTAACTCATTTTGACCAAAGATTTCAAATTAACATTGATCGAAGAAGATTTCTCCTTGATGTCATTCTGTTTTTAGATATGACAATAAGGTGTTCATCTGGATTTGATCATAAATGTAATCAAAAAAAAAAAAAAAAAAATGGGTCTTTGGGTTCATTATAAACTGAAACACATTAGAATGCACATAATATCTCAACTCATAGAAGTGAACAACTGCAAGACCTTCATCCAATAGCATAAACTTAGATGGGAAATAACCATGTGCAAACATGTGACAGCTAATCCATCATCAGTGCTTAATCTTGGTTATGCTTTTGCTAAATTAGCAATATAAAATGCAATTGTCATCCAAGGAGCACTCTCTGCCATGTCATTGGCTGAACACTACCCCCACCCCACCCNTACCAGAAAAAAGCAAACTTTTAACACGCCCCCACGGTTTGGTCCAACAGTAGAGCACTGCTAGATATGTGGTAGCTGCATGTCACAAAGTTCGAAATTTAGCTGTTGAACCAAGTAGAGTATTTAAGTGGAGAAAAGCTAGAGGCAATTTCAAAACTGAAACAGCGAATATCCCAGATCATTAAAAATCAAATAAAAAATCATAAACTAACTTTAACGCAACTAAGAGGATTTGCATATTTTTGCAGAAATTAGGACACTGACAACAATATTAGTACAACCTTCTCCCGAAACAAGAGACCAGAAACAGCTAAAGTGTTATATTTCACAAAGTAAAAATATGTACAAGAGTGAAAAATCTTTAATATGGAAATACAAGTGGTATTTCAAGAATGAAACTATTCAATTAACATCCTGAAAGAAATCAGCTAAACACAGAAAGACATCGAGATGCAAATCTTTAGCTTCACATGTATCAGAGTAGTCAAAACGAAAGGACTGTTCTAAGCTCAAATCCTTTAGCAAATGACAGCTCATACAAGATCAGGGACTTCAAATCCTAATTCAACAAAAAGTGAGTTGACTATCCATATCAACTTTCATTTTACATACCATATTTCCTATCCCATTAAATATACTGCAGAAGCAGCTCGAACGACTAGTCAAAATCAATTCTTTTTTGAAAATGCTATTTTATCTTTGAGATGCAAATACGACTAATTCCATTGGTTAAGAAGATAGACCTTCGGCCCAATTTAACTCCAAAAGGTAGCTCGTGAGGCGAGAATTGTTTGAGATCATGTAAAGAGATTAGAATCCATAATCAACCAATATAGGAGTCTAACACCCTGCCTTCCCCACCCTCCACCCTGTACGACCAGGGTAAGTAAGACATCTGGAACATGAAAAGCATAACATAGGAATCCAACATTGGGTAACATAACATTAGGAATGGGTCTCGCTCTGGTATCATGTTCAAACATAATGGACTTGGTCCCAACTCAACCTTAAAATCTAACTCATAATGTGAGGATTCTCCCAAACCATATCAACAGACTAGTGAGCACGGTCCATATCCTCAACAAACATGGAACTCTAACACTAGCTATGTTAGCTTTGCTTAACTGGCCTCAGGAAGGTTCTAGCAAGTTGATGGACGTGTAATCAACAACAACAATTATGTCTCAGTCCCAAACAAATTGGGGTCGGCTATATATGAATCCTCACTGACCACATTACTCCATTTAAACTCATCTCATGATATCAGGTTGACATTCGTGCAAACACAGTCATAATATCGTAATCCTATAACGAACACTAGTTTACAAAAATCCTAATTTTGATCAAAAGATAATTTAATTAGCGTTATTGGAAAGAAATGGACCCGAATAGAATATAGAGGATTCATATAAGACTAAAGTTGTATTGGCATAGTTGATCGATTGACATTGCAAATATGACTCAAAAATATTAATCTTCTTTAGCAAATACTAGTATTGCAGGAAAACATAGCAATTAAGTTAAATCTTAGAATTCAGAAATATAAATCAATTGTAGACCCTAATCTCTAAACATAGTAGGAACGAAAAAAGAAAGTAAGAGAGACCTCCAATGAACAATTTGCTGCAAGAGTGGCGTGAAGTGACCATTCTAGCAAGTGGGTTTTGATAATATACCAAAAACCCATTTAAGCGTTGCATTGGTAGCATCAAATCTGGTTTTGCTGTGTATTTTTGAGCTGCCGAAGGTTCAGGGGTTAAAAAGTGTTCTGTTTTTTTTTTTGGGTTTTGCGGTTGATGAAAATGGGCTTTTAAATATGGAAATGGGGTTTGTAACGGGTATTTGCAGTAGTACCTTATATTTGTGTCACCTTTTAATATGTACCTTATTTTTTAAAATTATTGATTTGATAATCATCTTATAAAAAATCTGTAATAATATGATAATTACACCCCTGACAAAAAATATAAAACGATATACTCCTCTCCTTTCAGCAACTTTTTTAAAAAAATCAGAAACTTGTCTAGATTTATCTTCAGAATCACACTTGTTATTTCACCTTGAAGCTAAAACTTCATGCTAATATAGCATAAAATTATTTCACCTTGAAGCTAAAATTTCATGCTAATATAGCATAAAATTATTTCACATTAAAGCTAAAACTTCATGCTAATGCATGCTGGAGTTATTTATCATGCAGTCTACAGTTTGTTATGAATTTTATCCGAAACTTCAGTCTAAACATGCTGAAGTTATTTAGTTCATTTGCTAAAACTTCAGACTAAACATGCTGAAGTTATTTAGTTCATTTGCTAAAATTTCAGACTAAATATGCTTAAGTTATTTAGTTCATTTGCTAAAATTTCAGACTAAATATGCTTAAGTTATTTAGTTCATTTGCTAAAATTTCAGACTAAACATGCTTAAATTTTTTAGTTCATTTGCTAAAACTTCAGATGAAACATGCTTAAGTTTTTTGTCTTGTAGTATGTAATTTTCTAATGAGTTTTTGTTAATGCATGCTGAAGTTATTTAGTTCATTTACTAAAACATCAGACAAAACATGCTGAAGTTATTTAGTTCATTTGCTAAAATTTCAGACTAAATATGCTGAAATTTTTTAGTTCATTTGCTAAAACTTCAGACTAAACATGCTTAAGTTTTTGTCTTGCAGTATGTAATTTTCTAAAGAGTTTTTGTTAATGGATGCTGAAGTTATTTAGTTCATTTGCTAAATCTTCATACCAAACACATGTTGAAGTTTTGTAACGCAGTCTACAGTTTTGTCCTGAGTTTTATCCGAAATTTCAGTCTAAACAAGCTGAAGTTTTTTAGTTTATTTGTTAAAACTTCAGCCTAAACATGCTTAAGTTTTTGTCCTGCAGTTTGTCAATAGTCTTTTATTAAAGAAGGACAAAATCGTCTTTTTAAAACGCTTTTAACAAAAAAAGATGGGTATGGATCCAAACGGAAAAACAAAACGGGTATAAGATAAAAGGGCGACAAAATAGGGCGCCCCATGCAATTTTTACTTTGGAATATACGAATGGACCCAAAGCTTTTTAATACGGGCGAAGTGCAATAATAGCCACTTTTAAGTCTACTATTTAAAATATATCCATAATTTACAATGTATTTAAAGATTAGCCAATTCATCCAAACTTCAGGACTAAGAATCCTAAATTTGAAAATAATGTCCTGAATTTTTGAGCTGCTAATTTAAAATTCAGGACTAAGTGTCCTGAATTTCTGAACTACTATTTTAAAATTCAAGACACAATTTTCGAACTTTATGACTCGATGTCCTGAAGTTTGAATTTTGAGGTTTAAACTCTAGAACGTCGAGTCCTGAAGTTTGAGCGAAATTGGTTAATCTTTAAATACATTTTAAACTGTGAATATATTTTAAACAGTATGTTTAAAAGTGGCTACCTAGTGTCATTTTCACTTTTAATATATGTTTGGTGGGACAAGTACACAAATAGTCATTCTTAGGGTTGTTATTTAGGGATTAACCAATATTTATTTTTATTTGAACTAAAATTCTTAATTTCAAGCCAATTCAGGATAAAATTGAACTGAAAATTTAATATTTAAGATACATTGGCTAATTTCTAAATAGAAGCCCTTTATAGTAGCGACCTTATGTCATTTCTACCATGTTTGGTAGCAATAGATCTATTATGTCATTTGTAGGTCCATTAGTGAAAAAGACAAGAAGCCCAAGGATAATTGGGCCATATAGTTGAAAGAAGAAATTTTTTTCTTCCTATGCAATATTAGAAACTTATTTATCAAAATTGTACAAGTTTTGTATATTACCCGCCCTAAACAAGTTTTCTTTACAATCTGTATACAATCAATTATTAGTGTCTTAAATTGAGGAATTCAGTTACACCTTTTTTTCTTTTTTCTCTCTTCTCTTCTTTCCCTATCCTCTAACCAACCAGTGATGACCGTAACTTTGGTACTAATTTCCATACCAAAATTTAACCAAATCGTTCCAATCAAAACCCACATTCTGATATCTAAACAACAATTAATCTAAATACCCAATAGAAAAAGTATATCCCCAACTACGTGATGCACATATTTACGGTGTATTATACAAATCTAGGATTAGATTGCACAAACAAAATATAAACTAATATAAGAGAGAGGTGATGATAAAAAAAAAATTTACCATATTATCAGAGAGTTATGTGTTAACTCACCAGCGTTCGCAGAGTCACAGCAGAAGGAAGGAAAGTGTAACATTGTTAACATGTTTAACAATGTTAGGATCAAGCATGTATTATCTGATGTTACATGTGAGATGTAGACCCGCCATAGAAGAATGGCATTCGAGATTCTTGAGCCTGAACATAACTTAGAACCAAACAAAAAAATGAAAGAAATTAAGAGTTCTAGGAGCAAATTCGGGGAAAGAAAACTTGCAGGTTAGCAAACTAAGTTGTAAGACAAATTATTTACATCCACAGAGCAGTACATTTAGCAAAAGAATAAATAAATTCATTCGAATTTGACAGAGCCTGTAGTAGGTGGGGGAGGGAGAGAAGAGGGGGAGAGAGGGGAACCCCGGACCAGAAAACAAACGTACTGTAATAACAAGGCAGAGTTACCCGGTACGTGAGAGGTAGCAAGTTCGCAGTGAGATAATCAAAGTGCGTGTAGACTAGGACACCGTAATGACCCGACTTGTCGTTTTAAGAATTAACGCCCCATTCAGTGACTTAAGGTATCGAGCAGCTTCGTAATATGTATTATGACCCGCAGGTGTGCTCGAGTTTGATTTTCGGAAGATTCGGAATTTAATTAAAAGAACAATTCTCATTTTTGAAGCTTAAATGAAAATAGTTGACCGAAGATTTGACTTATGTGTAAACGACCACGGATTCGAATTCTGATGATTATAATAGCTCCGTATGGTGATTTTGGACTTAGGAGCGTGTCCGAAAAATTATTTAGAAAGCCGTAGTGGAATTTAGCTTGAAATGGCGAAAATTGAATTTTTGAGAAGTTTGTCTGGGGTGTTGACTTTTTGATATCGGAGTCGGAATCCAGTTCTGAAAAAAAATTTATAGTTCCGTTATATCATTTATGACTTGTGTGCAAAATTTGAACTTTGAAGTCATTCCGGATTGATTTGATGTGTTTCGACTCAAGATATAAAATTTGAAAGTTCAAAATTCATAGATTTTGATTTGAGGTGCGATTCGTGGTTTTGATGTTATTTGATGTGATTTGAGGCCTCGAGCAGGTTCGTGTTATGTATTGGGACTGGTTGGTACGATTGGACGGGGTCCCGGGGGCCTCGGGTTTGATTCGGGATGGTTCTGGACCAAGTTTGGGTGTTTTAATGCTGCTAGTTACTGGTTCTGGTATTGTTCTTCGCGTTCGTGGGGAGCCTCTCGCGTTCGCGAAGAAGGATTTTGCTATTGGGACTTTGTTCTTCGCGTTCGCGAAGAGGCTCTCGCGTTTGTGAAAAAGGAAGTTTAGTTGTCTGCCATCTGACTTTGGAGGCTCATATCTCGCAATCTATAAGGAATTTGGAGATGATCCAAAAATAAAAGTTGTAGCTCTTTGTGTCTAGTTGTCATAAAGATAAACCATTTGACATTTGGATTTGTGTACAAAACGATATGGTGGATATACTACAGGCTATCTGGGAAGAGCTTGGAAATCTCTGTTGCACAAGGCTGATTTTGGAAGCTTATATCTCGCAATCTATAAAGAATTGGGAGATGAGCAACAAATACAAGTTATAGCCCTTGGAGTCTAGTTTTTAGAAAGTTAAACCATTCATCATTTGGAGTTTTGTACAAAAGGTTATGACCATTATATTAGAGGCTGTCTAAGAAGAGTTTGAAAATGGCTGTTGGAGAATTTGTTCATCGCGAACGCGAGGGGAGGGTCGCGAACGTGAAGAACAAACCATTGGGCAGCAGAATTAAGTCCAAATTCGTCTCATTCTTCCATTTTTGGACCAAGGAAGCTCGGGTGAGGCGATTTTTTGAGATTTTTTCAATGAAAATATTGGGGTAAGAATTCCTTACTTGATTTTGGTTAAATTACATGAATCTATTATTGTTTTTATCACTAAATTAGTGAATTTGGTTGAAAATGGTAGAAATCCTTTAGACTTTAATTTAAGATTTGAAGGGCGGTCCGTTATCGGAATTTAATAATTTTGGTATGGTTGAACTCGTATCGGAATGGGTGTTCGAATTTCGTAAATATTCTGTCTGGTTCCGAGGGGAGGGCCCCGTGTTGACTTTTTAGAATAAAATTTTAAGTTGGTATTTTATTATCCGAAATTATTTTTGATAAATTTTAATAAAGTTATACAATTAATTTGGATAGATTTGAGCTGTCCCGAGATCAATTCAAGCAAGAAGGCTATTTTGGAATATCGGCCTAACTTCAAAAAGGTAAGTATCTTGCCTAACCTTGAGTGGGGGAATTATCCCTTAGGTATTGAGTCTTATGTGGAAATTGTATAATTGAAACAATGTACGCTAGGTGACGAGTACGTACTTGGTTTATATGTGCAAATTATATTTGTTGAAATTCGTAGACGCCCTTATGTATTAAATTGGAAAATTATTGAAACATAATAAATCCTTTATTTGTCATGCATAAATCCTTGTTTATTGAATTTATTTTTATATGATAATTTGGTGTGATTGCCACTTTAATTTTTATGTGAATCCCGTGTTTTTGTTGAGTTGATATTTTCTAGAGATAATTTCATTATGGATTATTCAT